GGGGATACAAATTTTATCTTCTCATGCTGAAAGTATTTCTCCCCCTCTTGTTCACTTCACTCACTTGTGAGAGATACTTTCAGCAGTTAAAGATAAAATTTGTATCCCCGTGTGGCCATGTAATATCCTATTTATTTAATAGTAATAACAAAGATTCAAGTTTTTTTAAGAATTGTTCTTTGTATTTTATTAGGATGACAAATATGATGCAAGGTGGTGCAGGCAGTGCTGGTGGCGCAGCAGGAATTTTTCAGGCGTAAGTTTTTATGTCTGCAGTCGAACCTCGATTATCCAGACTCGGTGGGACTAGGGTAAATAGTCCGGATAATTGAGAGTCCGGATAATCGAAAATATGAACATTAATGAGACAATTGAGTTATGATCGTCTCGTGTGTTTACATAACCCACGCTCATCAAACTGATCAAGCATGACATTCCCTTAGCAACAAAACAATGCTGAACCAATCAAAATTCAGCTGAACACATTAGAGTGCTTCTTGTCCCCTTTTGTCACCGAGCGCTCAATCTTTCAAAAGCAGAGCGTGTAATGCGCTGTTTTAAACACAATTTTCCTGACTTTTAACATAATTTCTGAATTTTTTTACCTCCTAAAGTTTTTAATATCTAAGGTCACTAATATTCATGAAAAAAAACAGGACCGGAGAAAAAGTCCGGATAATCGAAAAGTCTGGATAATTGATGTCCGGATAATCGAGGTTCGACTGTATCTGAAGGATCTAGCATGATGATAATGCTTACTAACATTATGACTAATTATCAATTATTTCAATACAATATTAAGCAGGCAAGTGATGAGAATAAAGAAAAGTATAAATTATGGAATTATAACACTGTTGTTGATCCAATACCAAATTCTTAGAACTAATATCATAAGAATTGTGTGGTAGACAGTAAGGAGAATTACTAAGGAGATCTTAGGAGTGAAAGCATCAAGGGTAAATAGTGTTTTGTTTACACAACAGTGCCCAACAGTTTGGAGAACGGATGCAAGAATCTGACCCAGAGTTGTTTGAGCAGTTAAGGGGGCAGGCTCAGGCTGCCGTCAATGAACACAGAGGTCCGAATCCACCAAGAGATGGGCAAGATCCAAATCCAGGTTAGAATATGGAGCTATAAAGAACCGCTAATGTCTGAAATTATTATCAAGGGAACTCTAATGCATACAAAGTCTTCAAAAATTTGATGCTTTATGTACAGTCAAATTAGAACTGAAGAGGTGTTAAACAAAGGAGTGATTTGAACTACCACGTCTTTTTTTTATTTTATCCTAATTTGAAAAAAAGAAATGTCTTTCATATTTTTGATAGGCATAACTTTAATTTGAAGGAACCTATAGTGACAGGTTTGTTCAAGAATGCTTGCATGAGCAAGTTTTTCAACTGGTTCACATTGTTCTCAAAAATTGTTTTTGGACCAGAAATTAAAATTGTTGGTCATTAGATAAGCTTAAAATTTAGTCATTCTTTTTTTTGCCTTAATCCAGATTGTTGAAACATTGTTGGCTAAGGTGTAATGCAGGTTATAGTTACCACTCAACAAATTTTATTCAGTTGCTTTTTTTTCTCCTACAGATGAAGAAGACTCTAGCACACAATGAGTGATTACTGGATATGCAAATTGCAAGGGAAAAGCTTAAAGATAAATTTCATGACATCCATGGATGAATAAACATAAGACCTATGGCCTCTAGAGAAAGAAAAAGTGTCTAGATCAATGCAATTAATCAAGTACTTCTTTTTACGACCTAAGGCACATTGTTCAGTTTTCTGTTTTGTTTTGTTTTGTTTTGTTTTCATGGGGAACATCTATAAATATTTAAAAATAATATTCTGATGTTGTGCAGGAATTAATTTCAGTTATAAAAATTTTATTAATTTTCACTAATGATCACAAATGGTATCATGATAACACTGAGTTGTTACCTAAAACTTTCCAAAGTGAATATTCTAAGCCACAGTAAAGGTAGGGTGTGAATTTTACAGAAGTAAGGAGCCTGGGTGGCTTTGTCATTTTAGACTAGGTTTCCCTGAGAAAGTGTGACTTTTTGGATAGTCTGCCCACTCCAATGAGTCTTGCTTTTTTGCTGGGTTCTTTTAATTTTACTTTCTGATTAAAATGTAAACGTTTTTCCTAACTTTAAAGTTAGTTAAAGTAAAGATATACATTAGAAGTCTATCATTTTAATTGTATTGCATTCTTTGTGTGTAATTTTTTATTTAGAAAATATTTTAGGCAACACCTTGTAATACCTATGGTGACATGTCAAATGTTTGGATGATTCTTCTACCTTTGAGATTATGTGACAGGTCTGTTGACTGTCATGTCACACAACCCCAAAGATTGTGTGACACATCCTTTTGATTGTTGTACAATTCTGCGATAGGTCACAAATCCATTCTTTGTTATGCTTGTGCTAAGGAATGACTTGATTTCTCATACGATTCATTAATCAGAGTATCGAACATCGCATGGCTGGTCAATTAAAAGAACATTAATTTACACATAGATGTAAAATTTCCAAGCTTGTTTGCTCTTTGTTGACACTGACTCCAGTTTGATAAAATGTTAATTTTTTTTTCTTTAGGTCGTTCTTGAAAATAGATTTTTCTAAGAGACGAGAAAGGTTATAAGTGTGAGAAGTCTTTTTTTTAATATTCGTTAGCCTCTTCCGTCATTCATGAACACTACCTAGTGGGGAGGGGAGGGAACGTAATTTGGTGGTTATTTTAGTTCCGGTTTTGCACTCAGCAAATCATTGAGCTCACCACAAACTAAGGCGAGAGATCAGGCCACTTGTGACAAATATTTAATTAACCGTAACTAATTATTTACGAGCCCTTGTGAGACTTGTGTTTGAACACTGTTTGTTACCTGCGGCTACCGTTTTGACGAAGTCATGGGATTTCTGTGGTCATTAGCAGCTATTTTTGCCGGGTATTTTATCGGTGAAATCGTTCGCCTTGCCCTCCGACGAGTCCTTCCTGAAGTGTACTACCCATACGCCAATGAACTGATCTCTACCTTCCAGTTGTCAGTTTGCGTCTTCGAGATTTCCGTCATCGGAAGATTCTACAATCCTTGGATTGCGCTGTGGTGTTCTTTTGTTCTGCTTTCTGTAAAAAATTTGGGGTTTGTTTTTGAAGGAGCCTTGGCGAATCCTTGCGGGCTTTTAGAGGATCTAGTTTACGATCAGGGATGGCTCACGGATAATCTAGCGAAAATCGTCTTCCAAGTTTTAGGCGCGCTTTTGAGTTTTCCGTTCATTCAGATGCTATGGCTGTCGACATGGAGTGAACTACATTATCAGCAAGTCAAGAAAGGCCTTCGATCTACGCTCGACGTTTCCCTGTTGTATGGATTTTCGATCGAAATCTTGGCCACTTTCGTGTCCACCACGAGCGACTTCTTGTCACGTGGCACACTAAGAAGGTTCAACCCAGTGATTCGATCGGTGGTCTGTGTCCTTCTCAGCTTTTTTCTATCCGAAACTACTGGAACGTGGATGAATCCTGCGCTGGCTACGGCCCAAACGTTCGTTTATTGTTCGAGAAAAGAGGTTATTACCGAGCACCTGTTCGTGTTTTGGCTCGGACCGATCATCGGAACACTCGCGGCTATCGAAATGAACACTTTATTTCTGAAGCCTTCAGTGAATACCCAAAGAACAAAGAATAGCTTAGCAAAGAAGATCAAGCAATCTTCAGCTAAGAATCATCGGAATAGAGCAGTGAATTCTAACAGCGAACAAAAGGAAAGACTTGCAAAAAACGCGTAACATTATTTACTATAAAATTATGAATGAAAATACCAAACACAGTAACTAGATCTTGAGGCCTATTCACCGGTTTGAGGTCAATTTTTTATCGAGTCATTCTAACTCGATTTTATTTTGGGATTTTCTCGATTTCTGAAAAATTCTCGTGGAATGCTAGAAACAATTTTTACCTTGGGCAAAGGAAGATTACAAGCACTGATGAACGTGTGTTTCCCATGCGATTTCGTGACAAATCATTAGCATAACAATATTTCCTTTGCCGTTTCCCCTGTGGCGCACGATTAACATATGTTCGTTTTCGAAGAATAACAAACGAAGTTCATGAAAACTGGTATCAAATGGAGTGAAGACATCTTGTGGTATTTACATGTTATTTGTTCAAATGTATTTACGAGGCTCGTATGGGTGAACCGGACAAATTAATTAAATATTCGCTTGGGTGCAATGTAAAATGGAAAAATATTGTGTGAAAAGCACAAAAGCTGTCACTGTCTTTTTTATGATTTTAAATAAATATTGAATTCAAAATAACATATTTATAAACCATATTTCGGCATGACTCATCTCACTGTCAGATCAGTGTGTTGTATCTAAGTGTCCATTGCATTTGTGTTTTCATGCTGGATAAAAATTACATTATCAGTCTATATTACATCACAATATTTTTTAAAGAAATCCTCTGAGCTCCGCGTGATGCTAAGACAGTCTTTCCCAGACATCATGGGAGATACTGCGACGGAACAAGAATCAGGAAAATTTCATGATGGTGTGAAAACGACACTTTTTATTGCTAATTGCTAATATCGGCTCTCGGAAATTGGCACGTACTGTTCTTTCCTAAGGACATAGTTGAATTATGTCGGTAATCCATTCATTTATTTGTGATCTCTGAATAGTGCGGCGTAAATCCTTGTTACACCACAAAATAAAACGAGATTAAGATAACTTGGGTAGTCTATGTCCATCTGCTTTACGGTTTACGAGATACGGGGTCTTTCAGAGAATTTATAAGCGGGATACGGGATATAAGGAGGAGATATCGGCCCTCGGGATAGTCTTGCTGGATATCTGATCCTCCCCACCCTCTCTAAGGGCATTACGACGAAACAAACCCAGTCCACGCCAGGTGTTTCTGCCAGCCAAACGCATTAAGACGCTTACGCAAACGGAGCCATCCGAAAACAAATGAATAAAGGGGGTAAGTTTCTAAAGAAACTGGTGCTGCGAGGAGTATAACAAAATAATTTGGTTTTTTTAACTGAGTTGATGATGTAAATTGGCCTCTGCAAAGAGTTTTTAAAGCTGATGTTTTGGGCGTTAGCCCCTCGTCAGAGAGAATTGAAGAATGGTGGGTTGTGTGTGTTTATTTGCAGAATGGGTGGGAAGACGGCAACGAGAAAAACACGAATACATTAGGTGAATGAAAAGCGTTCGTTGATGCAGTGAGGATTAGCAGTGCAGATTAAAGAGCGAAATTTTTGTTCTAGGATTTTGCGGCTTTCCAAACTGCCTAAATGTAAGGAAAGGCCGCAAACTGCAACATACTTCCTAGAATGATTGGGGAGATTAAAGTGTCTAGCCAGTAGCTAGACAATTTAATCTCCTCATTGATCCTGTTGCTTTCTGTGGTAGGGGCTTAATCCTTTACACCCTAACCGCTGACCAGTATCTAAATTCTCTCCAAGCATTTCCTTTGGTAGAGGGTCTTAATGGGGAGATAGCTTGTACTATTGACGACTAAAACTTTGGTCATTTTACGGCTATCGGTTTCTTGGTTAAGAGAAAAAAGTTTACAGTTGACTTTTTTTACGACTGGCGGTTAAATTTTGTCAATTTGTGAGCCTAACAGCCCAATAGGTTGGCCGTTTTACAGCTTAAGGTAAACCCCATTGGGATTGGCGATCATTTCCTATAACCATTTGATCTTAATGAGTGATTTAGCAGTATTACTGTAACGAGAAATTAAATGTTGGTCAAGAAACCAAAGAATCATCACAAGTTCTTTTTTTAAGAAGTAATCATTTGGTATTTTAACTTAATTCCAATTCACCTTTTGGGCTTTAGATTTCACGTGTAGTATCACCTGATTTTTTATGTAAACAAACCCCGAAAATTCGGACATCGAGTCGAGCTCGCTGTAGAACGTGAGGAAGCCTTGATTCCCAAAAATAAAACCGATTTCAACTCTACGAACGTGTACGATTGCAGTTGTTTAGTAAGTGTATACCTAAACATAATGGTTACGACAAAGCGATGAGCTTATGGCACCTTAAAAAACGATTCACGATACCTCAACTGCTGGGTAAGAAACGCCAACGGCGACCCAGTCAAGTTTTTCCATTTTCCGGGGGCAGTTGGACAAAAGGAGAGAAGGCAAAGGTGGGTAAGGTTATGTCATCGAGATGACTCGTTTGTATGCACGAAGGACAGCTCGATGACATAACCTTATCCACCTTTGCCTTCTCTCCTTTTGTCCAACTGCGATTCGTGGGCACTAATTTCCTGTCGGACGGGGGTCTATCTGACAATCTACGTACTAAACACCCTGAAAATACCTTATCAGATACATCACTGTATGAAGAACTAGTTCGATTATTCCATGCCGCAACGCTTCCTGTAACATTCTTCGCATCTGCTTAAACGGCCGCGAAATGACAACTTGCTTAATAAACGATCAAATAAATGACGAAAGAACGATGTCAATTTTGAGCTAAGACACGCTTCTTGAAAGTGGGAAGTTATTTAAGAAAAATTTCCAAAGCCGAAATTTGGACACATATGCTGCGAGCTCGACTCAATTTCCGAACTTTCGGGGTTTGTTTACATCAAAAATCACGTGATACTACACGTGAAATTTAAAGCCCAAAAGGTTAATTGTTATAACACTGAGAATAGAAAGCGTTCCTCCTACAGAGTCCGTTATCAATACTATAATGATTAAAATACAGTCTTATTTACAAGCTCATTTGATCGATCACTGTGACTTCAACGCTCCATTTTGGAAGGAACCAACGGAAGAAGATGGAGAAAACAGTAAAGGAATAAATGATACACTTCCATCTGACCAACACTGCAAAAACAAACAGACCAAAAATTATTGATACACATAACGTCTAAGTCTACAAAATACAATTTCATAAATTTCGCAAATGTCCAATGGTACTACAGTGAACCTTTTCAAGCGTTATAATCATGTCTTTCCGACTACAGTGTAGCTTAGAGATGTAGGGTACTTTGCGCGTTTTACGCGCATAGTACGCGTATAAGGCCATACGCATACTGAGACAAACGAGCCTATGCGTCTATTCTAAGACGCGTTTGTGTAATTGGTAGGTACGAGTTAGCCGATTGTTTTTCCTGTTTTGGAATGATCATTTTTTTTCAATGAGCAAAGCATTTGCGGTAAAAACTGGTGGTTAAGCCGTTCCCGATGTCCGTCAATTGTTACACAGTTTTCGCACGCCGGAAAACTCTGAATTCAGAGCCTTTATATTTAGTTCGGTTTGAAGCCATTCATAGACTTAACCTTAGTCTCAAAGAGGTTCTCTCCACCAATGCATTGAATCTGATTCTAGTAGCCAGCGCAATGGACAAGTTTCCTGTCTTACAGAAGTAGCAACATCTCTGGTTCCTTCATGCCAACAAAACTAGGGAATGCTCCCTAACATGAATTCAGATAAATGTTTGAGCCAGTCTCATACCCTACACACTTTTTAAACTTGCAAAATTTTCATCCACAATCTCGACTTACAACAGTCAGAAGTGCTCCTTTCTTGAAGTCTTGTTGAAAAGTAACAATTTGTGGAACTGTTTCAGGAGGTCCCCTTACAAAGCCACTGCAATAAAAACAGGAAAAAGTTATAGTCTAATCGTCCTAGCGAGAGTAGCCCGCAGAAGCACTATGATCGGTACTGATTACTGATATTTTGAAAACCTTGGCAGAAGTTACCATCAGAGTCGAAACAGGAACACACAGAGAATTGATTAGGGAAGTCAAAGTCAGTTGAAACTGTGGAAAGTTATTTTCAAACAGTTCTAAAGAATATTGAATGTACTAACTTACTGAAAATTTCCTGACTAACTCACATGGCTGCAAAGACATCCACAAACAACTACATCCTTTGATATTTCAATTCAACAAAATTCCTCACCGCAAAATTCAGTTATTTCCATTCTCAAAGGTTCAGGTGTTGGTTTCTAAATTCATAATTTTTTTTTTCATACACCACAGGCAGCCCAAGCTCGTACAATGAGCCTCGTAAATGTGCAAATATGTTTACCTTGAGCAATGGGCGAAATACATAAATTCTTTAGAGGGCAAAGCAGGTGAACTAAAACCAGGCTAAACGGTCATAAATAAGCCCAGAAAACTCACACGATGCGAAGGAGCAACCACTTAAACAAGTTAAGTTTGTTTTCATTCAAACCTAGTTCAGATTTTAAGTGCGACCGTTATTCCAATACAAATCCTTTCATTTCGCTCAGTCCTAACGTAAACATATTTGCATATTTACGGCGGCTCCTTGCGATGATTGATTCCTCATCCACAGATCCAACCTAAATTCAGTATTTGAATTGTGGTTCACTTTGAATTTTTGATTCTTTAAATGAACAGCACAATGTTGAAAAACTAATGAGGTAAGTATTGGAATAAAGGTGGTAAGTTTCTAAAGAAACTGTGATGCTGCGTCGGTGAAGGAGTATAACAAAACAATTTGGTTTTATAACCTGAGTTGAAAATGTAAATTGGCCACCGTGAAGTGTTTCTTCGTTCATCTGCTCTGACGAAAGGCTAACGCATGAAACGTCGGGTTAGAAACTGTTTACGGTGGCTAATTTACATTATCAACACAAGTATAGGAATAATTCGGTTCAATTATTTTTTTTTACAAAAGAGGCTTGACCAGTTTTCACTTGTAAGAGCAGATGGATGGACACGCCTACGTGTACACAGAGACAAGTTTCCGAGATTATTACTTACCATGGCATGATTTCAAATGATGGTTTCAATCTGGTTTTGAACACAGCAACTAGTTCTTGAGCATGTTTTTTCTCATCTGTCAAGGAAAAAAAAAATTTCCACCGATAAAAATTACCCATTGAAACATGAGGTACCGTAGCTAAGTTACAGGTGTCCTAGAAAGCAAATCAGCACTCAAACAAAACTTGTCTAAAGATTCATAAAATGTATGGTCTGTGTAGCTATGTGCCGTCTTTGACTGTGAGAATATTTTTTATTTTGCTATGAATACACCATACATTAAGTGAAAGCTTTCACATGAGGACGCCTTGGGAAGAGAAAGGAATATCCATTCAGAGGTTGATTGTTTACCAAAATGACTCTCATCTGAAAATCTAATTTTGCAAATACAGCTGTTTCGCGGAAGGCTGTCGGAAAATGGACAAAAGTGAACGCGAACAATCCCAAAACGTAATCTGGGTATTTGGTAATCGATACATTTCAATAAGTCAAATAAATAGATAAATTCATCGAACCCGCTATGCCTCGTCCTTACACTGATGTTTCTACCATCCTGAGGTCAAGAAACCGTGACCTGAAAACGACCCACAATACCTTTCGGGTTGTCACGTGTACTTTTACGTTTTTTTGCGACAACCTTTCTTCAGACACCTGTATACCTTTAAATATAACAGCCAGTCTTTCACCAAATGGGTCCCAAGCCATGGAGCGCACACATCCACCCAAAGTTACTGACCCATCAGTATTCTCCCAGGTATGCGGCATTAAATCAGCACACCTCACAGCCAGACGCGCACCTTTTGCCACCGTTGCATTACGGCGCCCGTCGTCTAAAACAGATATTGAAAATTTCTTTTTATGTTTTGTCATAAGTAATTGTTACTTTGTTTATTTTTAACTCTATCACTCCAAAGATCTGATAATTAATTCTCTTCTAGATGCTGCACATTTCCTTAGTAATGAGTTACAAGAATTTGGTGTTAGATCAAGATGACGACTTTCATCTGATAAATTTAAGTATTCTCATTACCTATTTGCTGGATAATGTAGGGATATTATATTGAGAATGACATGTAAATCACTTCTGAGATTTTAAGGGTTAACAAAGGTATTGATCAAGCAAAATGTCTGGCACAGTCTTTAATTTACAGACTTTTACTTTCGAAATAAGAAGATCAAAGACCAATTGCATTGAACTGAGATCATACCATACAAGCAAACCACTAGCTAATAACTAACCCTCCGAGCTTCCAATGGCAAGTGAAGAAAATTTTGGCACATTAATTTGCAATAATTAATATTTCAACCTGGTTAACAAAAGAAAAACGGTAAAGGAGTACTCCTAAGCGCAAGGACAAATAATTTCTTCAGAATTCATATTTCCTAACTTACAATTACAGTGGCAACATGTAAAGCATCCAAATTTTTTCACGAGGTAAGGCCATTCACTTACCAACATTCTGAAACTGAAGTGAATAAAGAGCAGGTTCATCTGCCACAGCAAACACAAGAATCTTGCCATCAGGACTCCAACAAGCTGCCTAATATAAAGTAAAGTTCATCCACACAATCATTATGTTTACTTCCATAAGCATTCCACAACAACAATTGTTCTACCAATTTCTAAATTACAACCCAGAGAAAAGCAAATTCTATTAGACAAATGAGAGGGATTTGCCTCACAATGGTGTCCACTAAGGCTGGATAAATTTCCAATTTATGGTCAGAAATAATTTAAATTGCATTCATTTGGTTCTTATTCACTTTTCTTCGTGATTAGTTCAAAGAACTAGCCAACACTCTCAATAAACTAGGTGCAAAACAAAAACTATTTTAATGTCTTGCATGTATCTCAATTTTCAAAGATGCTATTCCTTATCCCTAATCCCTAAGAGATCCTTGATTTTAAAAAAGCTGGAATTAAATGTAAAAAATTCCATTTTCCTACACAGTGTTATACTTTTCAGGCAGTAGCCAGTAAACTTTACTGACAGTAGTACCTCTTAAAACTGCCTAAAATTGCTTGGAATTCTTGAATATGCAGCAGATCAAAGAAGTGCTCTACTGGTTTGAAAATTTATTTTACCCTAAAAAAAGGAAGAGCAAGCCTACAGGTTTAATATATTTACCTGACAGGCCCCTGCCAAATTGGACCACTTTTCACATGTCCAAGTCTGAGTCTCCCATACTCTGTTGGTAGGAAAACTGCCATCAACACTTACACGTCTTGATTGAACATCAGTACTCACAACTCCCAGAAACTTGTGCTAATCAAAAGCAGTCAATTTCATACTTCGAAGCTAAATGATCGTACAGAACGCTATTTTTTTCCCATAGCTATTCGGAGTGTTTGTAGATAGTGTTTGTCATTGAATTTGAAAGAGTTTTCTTGAAGAATCAGTCTCATAAGGTCTCCCAAACATGTTTTGGGATCAGAGGTTTTGACTGATGATGCCCTTTGTATTATTGACATACAACTCTATCTGTAATTCCCTTTTCCTAAGGATTGTTCTACATAAATGAGCTATCATATTGTTGACTACAGCTGCCAGAAAATACAGTTACCACACTCAAGCAGGGACGTTAATCTGTGAATAACTGTATTGAATTAGTTAGTTGCTTTGACAGCTATAACAATTTGCCCAAGATGACCAGACATGTCAACTTTTATTTGTAATATTTTGGAAATGAGCCCAACCTGAACAAGCTAGAGGGTGTGGCACTTAATACATTCCTCTCATCTGGTGACCAAGATGTGAGTGTTACACCACCTCCTGCTCTATATAAGGGTGTGGCTGTCTCCAGAGCCACATCCCACACCTAGAAATTTTTACAAGAGAAATAAATTACAGAAACATTAATGTCATGAAGTTTTGACAAACTTGAAGAGTTGACTTTTGCAAGATGCAGAAACAATCCATAAATTGAAACCCTTCTAATATTACCCTCTACAGTTGTGTTCTACAGGGATCAACTGTTTTCTGTAAGTTATAAATTTGGCAACTCTTGAAAAAAATTATCATCAGACTTCTCCAATCGACAATCTAATTAAGGAACACAACATGGCAACCATCATCTACCATGTTGCCCTCTTCCTAATTTAAAATGTTCCTAAGAAGACATTTCAGCCATTAGGTACCATTAAATTGCTGTCTGCTGGTGAACCAGACACCAACAACTGTCCACTGGGACTCCATGAGACAGTTGTTACTGGGCTATGACCTGGATAGGACAGATGACGCACAGAGCTACCTCCAAGTCTGCACAGAGAAAAAGACATCAGATTTATTACTTTGCCAGGTGAAACATTTTTCCTACAATTCATTACCAACTATGCTCACAAACAAATCAAGAAAGACACAATAAATGTGCCCCCTCCA